GTATTGTACTGTATGTCTTTGAATGAGTGGGTGCGAGGATGAGGGTGGGATTGTATGATTGTGTTTGTGTATACATGGGTATGTGTCAGGCTGGGACGTGGACTTCCCCCTCCCCTGGTTCGTTTGTCGCCCCCATCCCATACCGCCCTCTGGTGGGGGTGCCTTGCCCGCCGGCGCGCGAATGGCTCTTGGGGTCTGGGGCTGGGCGCTCGGGTGTGCGCTAGCTTGGCCTGGTGGCTGCCTGTCGGGGCTTGGGTCCTCTGGCCCTGTTGGCTCTCGGCTTGGGGGGGGGCGCCCTGGGGGCCGGGCCCTCTGTGCCTATGCCCGTGCTTGCCCTAGTGCAGCGGGTGCCGGCGGGCGCCTGCGTGCTCGTCGTTGCGGGCCATTGTGGGGCTGCTGCGTTTGGTCGCTGGTGGGGTTCTCCTGGTTCTCCCCTATGGTTTGACCTGGGGATGGGTGTGCAGCTCTCCTCGCATAGGTGTACCTGGGGGCCTGGTGCTTGGAGATCCTCCTGGGGTCGTTGGCTRTGGCCTCCCCTTATGTCTGCCTCGTGCCTTGGGGGTCGGCTCTGAGACTCCCCTACAMTCACTATTATACATTCCGTTGGAGAAATCCTGTAAATTTATGCTTGCTTACAACCYCACGCAGACAGGTGTTCAGATCCGAGGGGTTCTGAATGATCACCTGGTATATACAGTATAGGTYGGTGTTTGTTTATCTGTCTGAATATGTATGCTTTTGCTAAGTTTTGTAACCTTAGTTCTTTGCAGGTGTGCAGACAGATGTTGGATGGATTGTATTGTTTTCTTGACATCTATCTCACATATCAATTCTTTCTTTCACTTTTTTTCCATTACATTGTAACTTTTCTTTCCTTTCCTTCTTTTTTCCTTTCTTTCGTTTTCTTTCTTGTCTATCTAAAAAAAAACACTGATGATGAAGAAGCTAAGATACTAATATTCAGATATTTAGTTCTGCTTTCTACTTAAGTGGTTAAAAAAAGCGATCATGAATTTTGACTCAGCATTCAGAATTTGTCTAAGCTTGTTCTCAGCTGCTGCTATACCAGTTTTCAGTATTATATGTCTAAAAACAGCTTAATTATAGCCTTATTTATAATTAGCATTAGCTTAACCTTGTCTTTAGCAGTCAGAATGTCTTGGATTAGCTTTCATCTACCATCCCACCAAATTTCATATTTGTATGTGTGAAGAAACGAGGAGTTTCTTACATAAGAATCAATTTTTTTAGTAATGTGTCACAGCCGAATGGTACATGAGGTTCAAAGTCACAAATCAATGTCTGCCATTTATTCTGAGGTCAGCAGCTTCAGCAGGAACACTCAGACATCACTTTGCACAGCTACCTTTCCAGCTCCTCTGGGAGGTTTCTAAGGAGTTTCCAGGACATTTGAGAGTCCCTCCAGCTATCGAACAGGGGGTCTTCCTGTGCTGTCCTTACAGTTGGATGACCTTACCAGATGTCTTAACCACTGGCTCTACTCKAAGTCTCTCCTGGARAACRGAACCACATCACTTTAAGGTAGAGCTCAGCTATCCACCCAGTTAGCAACAGGTGAGGGCAGGAACAAACAGAGCTTTGCCTTGGAGCTCAGCTTCCTCTTCATCACAACAGACTGACAAATTAAACACTGTGGAAGCTTTTTGWTGATCTCACACCACATACAGCACTCATTCACCAGAGATACTGCCTTCATTTCAATACATTTTAATGTTTTTGCTTGTGTGTTAATATCTTTAGCAAAAAGTTAGTTAGCAAAAATAATAATAAAAAAAAAAAACCAATGGGCAGACATGACTGAAACTTTCATCCACATATTAACTTTTGGAATCAACCCAATTCACAATGGAAGCCACAACCAGCAGACCATGAKTTACAAATTATAGTTGTAGCTAAACAATATCCTCAACACTTAAGAGAACTACACACGGCAATCTGTCGTGCTAACCAACTAAACACCAGGGCCCCATTTCAGAGAGCAGGCTTAACAAACCCTGGGTTAACGCAGATACTCTGAGTCAGCTTACCCCGCTATGTGATACTCTGGATTTTTGGTTTCAGAACAGGTGATATCAATTGGATAACTTAACCCAAATCAAGTTAACCCTGAGTTAAGTTGGAGCAGGAAGCCCTCATTAATGGCAGTCAGGTAATGTGATTCACCATGGCAACGGTAGAAAATAAGAAGACCCAAAGTTCATTWCTCGCACTGGAACTAGAAATATTAATGACGGCATATGGAGAATATCAAAATTAAATAAAATTTTAAATTAAAAACACAATAATGTTGCTGCTGCAAGAGAAAATGAGTTGTGCTGCAGATAATTGCTGATTAAGTCAATGTGTGATTTCACAAAAATCTAAACTTTTATTCTTCACAATTATTCAAGTGGATAAAAGTGTGTGTGTGTGCATTAAATGTGGGTGTAGGTGAACCCAGCTTGTACCAAACAGACATGGCAGCAAATAAAGATTAAATATAAAAACAGTAAAATCAGGTAAGGTCAGGTATATGCTTTTATGTTCACCCTTTAACAAATAACTTACATAATTCAGCTGATTGAACACATTAAATTAATGGTGCACGAGGTGTTCCATAACGATATAGGTTTAAAGTTTATTTTACTGAATCAGAATGATTGTTAATTTTTCACAAAAAGAGCTGTGATGGACAATCAGCTAATTTTATATATATA